TACAACCAGAGGAGTCGCCCCCTGGTGGACACTAGAGAGAATGCAGCAACCAGAGGTGGCCAATCAAGTAGCTCACAGGAAGAAGAGCAGCATGAAAGACTGAAACACAACGCAGCATTATGTTTTTCACCTTTAGTCTCTCACTTTGGACGTGTTTGCCAGTTTAAAATCTGCAATATTGATGAACCTCCCATCCTGGTTAGTTATTGAAAGTGTTTTTTTCAGTCACCCGTAGGACCAAACATTCATCATGGCATCACTACCACATTGCTGTTAATCACCATAACACATGACTTTGTGTTCGTTTATCCTCACGTTTAGCAGCGTAGCCTCAACAGATGGAGCTCTGAGCACGAACAAAGACTTTTATCCTCAACATGATGTTTGTTACTTTATTCTCTGAACACCAGAGGACGAACAAACAAGATAAAGTGTAAAGAATAAAACAGACGAGTGTAACCAACAAAAAGCCATAAACCAACCTCCACTATAGAGAGGAGGGATGATAATCATCTATAAACTCATATCTCATATTCATGAACTACTTTATCACTGTCATAGAAACCTTGTAGAGAAACACGTCCAGTATTAAATGTGTTATAAAGAAACTAAGGTTGAACATCCTGTAAACTGTTTGATTTGGCTGATAAATATTTACGCAAATGTAGATTTTTAACACTTCCTGTTTGTAAAGTATCTAAAAATGAATTGTTCTTTTTAGTAAATAGTGTTTTTATCAGTTAATATTTGTGACAGTCACATCTAAAAAGCTTTGATCGCGTGACAAGTTACAGAAATTCAGAGGTGCACGACCAAACGCTGCAATCAATTGAGGATTACGTCATTATATAAACCAAGCTTAAGTCGGACAATGGTAGCCCAAATCAGACAATGGTAGCCCAAATCAGACAATGGTAGCCCAAATCCGCCATTAAACTTGTTGTTTTCTCTCATTTATTTTATGTGTGCATTAAATAAACGAGACATTACATGTCACTGAGCTTTAGAGAGGATGGAAGGTGTGTCTCGTTACTTCTGGACAGAACCAGGCTAGCTGTTTCCGGTCCACATGCTATGCTAAGCTAAGCTAACATGTCAACGTGTTTCCTCACACTTCTTTTCTTCTTGCAGAGTCTCTACCAGAGTCTGAAGAAGTTGCTGGAATATGGCGGCAACGTGGAGCAAGACATGATGCTCACGTACCAGATCTCTCACACAGACCTGTTTGGAAACCCCATCCTGTATGACCTGAAGGACCAGGGAGACCAGATCCCCGTCACAGAGGACAACAGACAGGTGAGACCACAAGAGTGGTAGTCATGTGATCATGTTCATTTAACATGTTGGTAGATGGTATCGCTGGGATTTCATCAATACGGCTTATAGGTTCGTTTTCAATGCTAAGTAATTGCTTTTTTTATATTATATAACTGAGCTCACGTTAACTGAGCAAACGTT